ACACACACACACACACACACACACACAGGTTTTCATTAATTCATCAGAACAAGTCAATGTCTTGTTCAAGGCTTCTTGAATGTTAATGAATGGATAATTAACTTTAGCTATATAATTAGCCTTTAAATATGCTAAATATGACCCCCCCCCCCCCCGAGAGCATCTGAAAACATGCATGAGGAGATGAAGAGCTAAAACCGGAAACTTTTGATTAGGAAATGTCAAGCCACGTGACAACGCAAGCTCCCATCCTCAAAAGGGCCATGGTCTCCCTTTGTGTTGCGGGAATCAGATTTGCCCACAAACAGTCTTGGGTCTGGAGTGAACTTTCAGGCCATCGTGCAGGTACAAGAAAGGCTGACTGAGGAAACAGGGTCCTGTCTACACGCTCCAGCGAGCTGTAGCGTCTCTCCAAAGCCGTGGGAAAACCTGGCAGGAAGCTGCTGGGTTAAAGTCGCAGGGGCACATGTGACAGTCGTCCTTACTTTGCTTCTTTGCAAATTTGCAAAAGGGAGGTCTTATTTCCCCCTCTCACTCTGAATCACTGTCATTTTTAATCATTTGCTTCCCTTGAGGACTGCTGGTGACAGGAGAGGGTGACAGCACCCACACAGCCTCTATCAGGCCTGGCAGGGAGTGGGCATGTCACGACACCAGCATGGCACTCATTCGCTTCTGTTTCAGCCCCCGTGCTGGGGAGCCTAGGTGTTGTTTCATTTGTCACCATTGTTTGAAGAAATGATCAGCCTCTAGGGAGTAGAGTTGGCTGGATGGAGTTGGCTGGTAGGGGCTCTGTCCTGATCTTTGAGCCTCCTCCGCCCAGTGGGAGAAGCACTTAGCCGGTGGCAGCTATGTGACCTCAGCAAGAGCTGGGGAGGTGGGGACAAAGGTGATTTCTTCTTGAAAAGCAGGAGGAGAAAACTCGGAACAGAGAAGCACACCGGGCTCCTCGCCTGTGAGTCCTCACGCACCCAGCTGACTGCTCTGAGTTCTGAGGCCGCTTTCACGCCAACCTTTCATCTCTGTGATGCTTCAAACCCAGAGCTGCCAGTAGCCATGTGGCAGCTTAACGTATTGCCATCTCAGCATCCCAACTCCAGCGCCCAGGTGCTTCTGGTCTAAATTTGGCTTCAGTTTCAGGCAGCCTTTTCCTCTTCCTCACCTTTACCTTCAACATGAAGCCTTGGCCATCCACGCCTAAACGTCTCCCGAACAAATGGGCCAGACACTTCTTCTGTGGGGCAACTCCAGACCGTCCACAACTACGCATGTGCTGGTAAAGAGACACAAGGAAGCCGAACAACCCACCAAATCTTTTCAAACTCTATTCTAATCTCATCCTTGCTTCCTTTTTCATATCATTGGACTTGATGTATAGCTGTAGCCCCCAGTCTGAATTTCATAAGCAATAAATAGAGCTGCCCTAGTTAATTTCACAAGTCTTATGGATCACGTGGTCATGGTGATTATTCTGTGGTCTTGGGTATCAGACTGTAAATCCAAAGGCTGTTCTGACACTTCTAAGCTGGGCGGTGGTGAAGAGTCGCTTTACCTCTCCGTGACTCAGTTTCTCATCTCACAGTGGGCATGGCAATAGGTGTAAACCTGTGCATAGTGAGAAGGAGTAAATGAGATAATGCATATGAAATACTTAGGACTGGATTTGTCACATAGAGAGCATGAAAGTTGTGAGCGCCTTTGTAAAATCTGAATTTGATTGGATGCACCTGTGTGTCCTGAGCATTTGCTATGGGCCAGTTACTGCACACACACTCTATTTATATGACCCCTTATTCCCAGCAGCCCACGAAGGTCAGATATTGTCCACTCCGTGCGCAAAGACTTTGACCACAAAGCCCACTCTTGAGGATGTCAGCAATTTTTAACTTCTTTCTTTATAACAATGGGAATATGTTTCTTTCAGTTGAAGAAAAAGATTTGTCATGAAATACAGTATTGATTTGCTGAAATCTGTGCTTAACGGTTTAAACCACCGTTGGACACGTCTCGTTGATGGGTACAGTTTTAGATGTCCACCCCAGAAATGCATCAGCGTGTGATGGGCTAATAGGAGGGGGAAAACTTTCACCCCATGAATACCAGCTTATGGCCTTGACATTTGAATGCCCCTGTGCACGCATCGGTGTGTGCTTCTGTTTATTTTTGGAGGAATTGAGAGTAAAGATTTGGGTGAGGCTTGGAAAGTCTTAATAAAACCCAGGTTCTCAGCATCTCCATGGAAACCTTGATATGTGAAGTACGGGCATTGCAAGCACCCACTACATCAAGAGGACAAATGCCGTCCATGACTGACGTCTTCAGGAAACACGTGTTATCCAGTCTCAACTGCCCTATGGAGAGTGACAGAAGGTGACTGCTGGCTTGTGAAATGATAGAATCCCAGAGCCGATGAGCATCTCAGCAGGACCACCAGCCACACAAAAGAAAGAAGTGACTTTCCTGAGGATGCACCATCAGCCAAAGCTGGACTAGAACCCAGATCTCTTCTACCTGCTCGTCCACTGCTCCCTTCACACCCCTACAGCCACCACATACAAACCGACCTTTGCAATATCCCCAGCCCCTGTTCCCCCGGGTCTCAGTTTGCCGGCTCTCCAGAGAGGCTGCTTCCTCAGGGGTTGTCAGCTCCGGATCACCATCACCATTGACAAAGCCCAGCTTTCTTCCTCTTCTGCTTGGATGCTCTGATCCCCTTTTAATGCGCTCAGAGTTTAAAACCACGTCTCCAATCCTGCAGCTTTGGATACAAGCTTCAGGGTCTTTCTGTTGGTGAGATAAGCTTTGTAGGCTTGCTCCAACTCTCACCATTACAGAAACAAAAAATTAAAACAAAGAACGCAGCCGTAAACCTTCCAAATACTTTCATTCCCATAGGGCATCCTTCAGCAGCTGTCTCTGAAAGGAGGCAGCATTTTACGTCCTCTCCCTGCCACTTTTATTTTTCTTTGCTTCACTGTTTTGTTTTCTTGTTAAAGAGAGAAAGGCAGTCATGTTGAGAAGTTGCCAAAGAAGTGGAGTTATCTCCAATTTCATTTTCCTACCTACTTTAGAATTTAGTATCCATCCCCATGTTCAATGGTGGTCATTCCTGCCTCGTTAAATAACTTAAAAAATTGGAAACAATATGCACACCAGCTAATAGAGATCTCGGGAATGAATGAGGCACAGCCGTGCCCTGGAGGGCATCTCCTACTGGGGATGTGCCCGCAACCCAGGTACATGCCCTTGACCAGAATCGAACCTGGGACCTTTAAGGTCCCATACCTTGATCTGCATGATGATTTCAAGTATGTGTGCATATGTCAATTTTTATCTAGCACTTTATTTTATATACGTCATACCTCCATAACAATAAATGTAGCCCAGGAAAGTGCTATGTTTGTTGACATGAAATATGTTCACTGTGTGCGGTGTGAAATGAGAAGAGAACGCAATTTGTGAAATAGTTTGCCTGGTAAAATTCTATTTCGGGGGTGGGGGGTGGTTAAAACAAGGTTGGCAAACAATGGCCCATGGGCCAATCTCTTGTTGTAAGTAGCCTTTTACTGGAACAGAGCTGAGTCCATTCATTTATATATTATCTATGGCTGCTTCCTTCCATGCTGTGCGTAGTTCCTAGTGCTGCCATAACACATCCCACAAGCGGTGAAGGTTAAACAACAAGGTTATTTGTCTCCTAGTCCTGGAGCCTGGAAGTCCGAGGTCAAGGTGCTGACAGGGCCGTGCCTTCTCCGAGGGCATAGGGGAAGGAGCTGCTCCGCCTCTCCCCCAGCCTCTGGTGGTTCCTGGACCTGTGGCAGCATCACTCCCACCTCCCCAGGGCGTCTCCCTGTGCGTCTGTGCCCACACCTCCCCTCCCATGAGGGCACCAGTCATAATAGAGGAGGGGCCCTCCCTATTCCAGGATGACCTCATCTTAACAATAACATCTGCAATGACCCCATCTCCAAAGAAGATCATATTGTGAGATGCTGGGGGTTAGGACTTCAACATATGAATTTGGGGGGAGGGGGACACAACTCAGCCCATAACATGTCACAATGGCAGAGTTGAGTCGTTGCAACAGAGACCCTATGGCCCACATAGCCTAAAGTAGTTATTATCGTGTCTTTTCAGAAAAGTTACCAACCCTGTTTTAAAAGAGGTGTGTGTATGTGTGTGACTCTGTGCATGTGTGTGCACATGCGCAAAAAGTTTGGAAGATTGGGCCTGGGCCAGGTAGCTCAGTTGGTTAGAGCATTGTCCCAATACACCAAGGTGGGTTCGATCCCCATTCAGGGCATATACAAGAATCAACCAATAAATGCATAAATAAGTGGAACAACAAATCAGTGTTTCTTTTTCCCTCTCTCTCTTTCTTCCTCTCTTTCTTTCTCTCTTTCAAATAAAAAAAATTTTTTTTTTAATTTGGAAGGTTGTTCACCAATACGATTGCCTCTGAGTTATGGAATTATGGGCAATTTTAATTGTACTTGTATTGTTAGTATTTTCTACATTATTTGGGTTTCTAAAAATTATTACATCATATTTTTGTAATATGAATACACAGTAAGCATGTTTCTTTTGGGAGGAAGAGACCTTATTCTTACTGAGTCCCTTGCCTGCCTGCCTGCTACTCCCGAATCGTCCTGCCCCTTAATAGTTTACTTCGTTCTGATTCAGCCTTTCTAAATAGGCCGCTGTCCTCCACTGTTGGGAGTACTAAGGGCAACACTTAAACGAGCAAACTCAACTGTTTACTCACTTGGGCATAAGGATTCTTCATGTCTTTATTTAGCTGCCTCTTGTAACTTGGAGAAAAAAGTTCTGGCTTTTATCTCTTCATTAAAAATAGATCCTTTTATGATGAGAGGATGGAACGGCCCTGAGCCATTGTCTCCCATGGGAAAGGAAGTGTGTGATGCTGGATTGGGCTGGGAGCTGGGCCCTGAGATGGTACCCCGCCATTCCCATGACTCCCTGGTTTCTTGTCATTGCAGGAAACTGGACGCTTTCATCTACGATGCGGCGGTCTTGAATTACAAGGCTGGGCGGGATGAAGGCTGCAAGCTGGTGACCATCGGCAGTGGGTACATCTTTGCTACCACTGGTTATGGAATTGCCCTCCAGAAGGGCTCACCTTGGAAGAGGCAGATAGACCTGGCCCTGCTCCAGTTTGTGGGTGATGGTAAGACCGTGGGTGACCCCCTACTGTGGGGGACTTGAGGCCCTTGCATTTTGGTTCCCCTCCCCCCACTTTACTGGCTTTCCAATGGATTTTTATGTGATGAACTTGCACACTAAAAGTATTTATTGAATGCATATCACATGATACCACCGTTCTTTGGGTTGCTTATAATGGAAACCAATTATAGATAGCCATGTTTTTAAAAGACATTTATTTTGGGGATGCAGAAGTATCCATCTCAGTGAATTTAGAAAAGAGTTGAACAAATAGATTTAGAGGAAGAACAGCAACTGGGGCAGACCTGGGGCCTCAACGGCACAAATTTGCAGGTTCATTCTCTCTCTCTCTCTCTCTCTCTCTCTCTCTCTCTTTCTCTCTCTCTCTCTCTCTTTCCCTCCAGCAGTGGTTTTCAAAAGGGGGGACGACTTTGACCCCTAGAGCACTTGGCTATGTCTGAAGATATTTTTTATTGTCATGACTCTGAAGTGTGTTTGCCACTGGGATCTAGAGGGTAGAGGTCAGGGATGAGGGATGCTGGCAAACATCTTACCATGCTCAAGACATCCCACCCCCATATCTCAGAACACAGAATTATCTGAGCCCAGATGTTAGTAGGACTGGAGCTGAGAAAGTCTGCCCTGGAGCAGTGACTTTACATAACCAGCCCATAATATGTCCCAATCTCGAGTCTCTCAATTCTCAATTCCAAGTTCCAGAGGAAGGATTCCTGGAGCATTTGGGGTCAAGGGCCCATCAGGAGGGTAGAGTTATGTTGTACTAACACAACAGCTCCTGCTATTATCCGAGGAAGGAATGAAACAGAAGCAATTTCTAGAAAAGGAATCGTGAGCAGAAAGCTCGTGGGCTTCCACTACAGTTCACTTCTTGACTTTCTATCATGCAAAAAAAGAAAAGTTTCCACCCTCTTGGGGATTATGGCATTCATGGAAGCTAATTGGGTCAACTCTTTCTAGCAGCATTTCCTTCTGTCTCTCCTCTGTTTCATAGTCGGTGATCTCACCATAGCCTTTGCCATGACATCGTCTTTACAATTCTGCCGTGGCTCAGATGGCAGGCTGGTTCCCCTCTCAACTGCCAGCACTGAGATAGGAAAGACAAAGCCAGCAGAGATGGCAGGTTAACAGTGAAAAATGAGAGAGTGTGAGTAGGGTACAGGCACACAGGACACAGGGCAGCAGCTGTATTCAAGAACGAGGGGAGGCTACGGTCAGAGTGGTTATGGAATATGCTATGCCTGCCTAGAGCTGGGACAGGAAAATCTGGCGACTCCTGTGGCCAATACATTGAAATGGGCAGAGGTTAGTGCATAGGGTTGGTGTGAATTGGAACCAAGTACATCATCCCTTGCAGCTTCTTTCTTCTTTCAGAATTGAACCCTGATTCTCACAGTACCATCAAGAAATCTAAATGTGTTTTATATTTAACTCCTAAATATACATCTGATTCTCTTAATTCCCTATGGAGCATTTGTGCCTTCCTCAGATCGTGAGCCACGTTCTCCGCTGTGTAACAGTGCTTTGTGGCCGTGTGGGCCAGCTACGGCTGTGAAACCTACCAGTGGTTCTCAACCTTCCTAATGCCGCGACCCTTTAATACAGTTCCTCATGTTGTGGTGACCCCCAACCATAAAATTATTTTCATTGCTACTTCATAACTGTAATTTTGCTACTGTTATGAATCATAATGTAAATATCTGATATGCAAGATGTATGTTCAGGGGTCGCGACCCACAAGTTGAGAACCGCTGCGAGAGGCATACACATACATTTTGCTCATGGAAGTGCAGGTGGAGTGGAGGAGCCTCGCCGCAGGCTGTGATGGCTCTGGTGACTGTACTCCCTCTGCAAGTCCCTGGTCAGCTGTGTGGTCTGTGTTCCACGTGTGTCTATTCTGGGGCTCAGGCTGAAAGGTCAGCAGCCACCTAGGAGAAGCTCTTGTGTTGGCTGTGTCAGAGGCACCGAAAGGAACACCTAAACCGCACATGCACATTTCAGCTGGCTGCCTTGTCACATTCATATCTACTAACAAACTTCTGTCTACAGATGGCCAAGCCCAAGGTCAAAGGATTGGAGGCATGCTCTACCTTTTATTAGAGGACTTTGATGTTATAGGACAAGGTATATAGACACAAACAGGGATGAATGATTAGGACTGATGGTTCCTTCTACCACTGTGGTTGCCTAAGCAACCCTACATGGAGTGAACTACTCAGCAAACAAGAGTATTATTTATAACAGTAAGCACACAAAACTCTGAACATGACAGATAACTGGCCAATGAAGGATTTCATGAATAAATATGCACATGGATGAATGATTAGTGTTGGGATATGTTTCATTTGACAGGAAACTTTTAAATATGGAGGGTAGCTGTCAAATAATGAGTTCTAACTCTGCTCCTACCCACCATTGCTGTCACTCATCAGAATCTGCTATGAAACAGCAACATATTTAGGGAATAAGATATGTCAATTATCATACTGGATACATTACATGTGTTCTTTAATTTAATATTGATAACAACCTTATGAAGTGAAATATTGCTTTTACCCATTTCACAGAGGAAAAACTGAAGCTCAGAGGACTTATGAGCCCCCTACCTAGTAAGGGGAAAAGCCTCTCCTCAAGGGGCCTTAATCCAGAAGGGGGTCAATTATGTAAGACTCCTGATACATTTAATTCTCTAAGATGTCTTTCAAAATTGGCTAATTAGACACTTAAGATTTGTAGACACCTTTAGGAAGGAGTTACTTAGTGCATAACTGAACTAAATCTTTTATCCCATTTACAAATACTTCTGCAAAAGAGGTGATTTTCTTAGCCTTATCTGTGAATTAGTATAAAAGTATTTACCTGATAAGGTTGGTGTGAGGATGAAATGAGACAATGCACGTAAAGAGCTTAGCTAGCACAGCACCTGAATATAGAAATGGTTCAATAAATGGTAACTGTTACCATCATCATCACCAACACTATTGTTATCACCATCACCATCATCATCACCAACACCACCACTGTCATCATTGTCACCATCAACATCACCATCACCGTCACCACCATAATCAGCATCACCAACACCATTATCATCACCGTCATCATAACCACCATTAACACCATTGTTGCCACCATCACCATCCTCCTCCTCCTCTTCCTCCTTCTCATCATCACTATCCATCCGCAATTCCAATATTCAACACACCTTATTTAGTGTTGTATTGGTGAGAATATGGTCCAGTTGGTGTCATGGAAACAACAGAAAATGTCCTCTTTTTAGAAAATAAAAAGTAAAGGCATTCAGATAGGCCAGAGGCATGTTCCCTGTACTAGCAGTGTCTAGATTCTTATAAATATGTTCTGGCTCATTGCTTTCCTGGTCAGACTGTCGGGGTTGGGAAATGTGTCTCCTCAGCTTCATCTTCAGAGACCATCTGGAGGCAAAGACATTGGAGAGAAATGACGTTGCTCCAGGGGGCGTCTTAACATAATCTTCCCGGAAAGCCACGTGTCCAATTCTGAATGTCTCTCTAGGAGTAAATACATAAATTAACACAGCTGCATAAATATTTCACTTATCGTATGCAGCTTCAACAGGATTAATTATGCTCTAAAGTTAGACCTGTAAAGAGCAGCGCTGAGCAGTACCTAATTATTATTCATCCTCTAGAAGGGAGTGTTTATCTCTTGTTATAGAGTAGCTTTGGCGGACAATTACGAGTGTAATGAATTTCAAAAATGTTTTAAAAATTTTTCTTAATGAGCTGTATAAATATAACCTTTGAAGGAGTGTTAGGTTATTGGGGGGACTTCTTACATGAAGCCCACCAAGCATTTCCCTAGGAAAAAGGCCACTGGTCTGCTGTAAGAGATACACAGGATCCCAACAAGATCTTACCTTCCTTTTTCTTGTATGATCATTGTGTCCTTTCTGAAATAGTGGAATGCCCCGGGGGGATCTTTGCTCTCAGTAGTTTAGTAATAACAATCATAGGTTCTTTGCAGCTTTGATCATGACTATCTATCATTTACTGAGAAATATACCTTCCACCTGGCAGGTGTGGCTTAGTTGGTTGGAGTGTTGTCCTGTGCAACGAAGGGTCATGGGTTCAATTCCTGGTCAGGGCACATACCTAGGTTTTGGGTTCAGTCCCCCTTTGGGGCATGTATGAGAGAAACATCAGCACAATCGATGTTTCTCTCATGCTGGTATTTCTCTCTTTCCCTTCTGCTCTTTAAAATTAATGGACATATCCTCGGGTGAATGAGGATCTAAAAACAAAAGGAAGTATACCTTTCAAGGCAGAAATGTTTCAAGAAGGGAATGTCACAGTCTTTTTTTCTTTTCTCCCAGGAACTTATAGTCTAGTTGGTGGGTAATATATAAACTTAAAATATCTAATCTCAAAATATGAACATATTTACAATAATTCATGTATATGAAGTAATATATATATGTATATATATATTCTTATGTGTCTTGGGTAGGTTAGAAAGTAGTCAAGGTGAAATATGAGATAAACTAGTTTTTTTTAATGGAAGAATGAAAGGACTGAAAAGGTCACACAAAAAATAAGTGTAGTGAGATTTAGATAAAGAATAGAACTAGCCAGAGCTCATACTAGAACCTCATTCATTAACTCATTCAGCATTGAGCAAATATCTGTTGAGTGCCTGGTATCTCTCTGGCACCTAAAAGGTAACACTTGAGTGAGAACATAGATAATGAGTAAATCTGGGACCTAAAAATGGCATTTCTGCTTTGGGGGGAGGGGGTGTTGAATAGGTGATCTCATAGGTTCCCACCAATCTCATGGATTTTGTAAATTCTTTATGTGATTCTGGGATTTCAAGAGAAAGAAAGGAAGTTAAGAGGGGTTAAAGCCCTTTTGATGTATAGAGCCAGCAAAAAGATATAAAGAACAGACTGTATAATAATATTGCTCAGAAGCAAGTAATGCTGAGAAAAAGGAAGAAAATGATTGT